TTTTGCCGTAATTCTATCTCTTTCTGCAAATCTAGTGGAGTATCAAATCTTAACCGAATTGCAAGTGGATCATCCTCCTGCGGAAAAATTAAGTGCATGTATTATGAAAAAAAACAATTATTTTGTTGTATTCATCATGAATATTTGAAGTTTTAACTCTATTCAATGAGACCCAATTCTCGTAGATGCTCTGGAATAACTTTATATGGGTCTTCATAATACCAAACGTATCTTAAAACAATCCAATTCTCTTCGCATAATTCTTTCTTGAGTTGATCCCGCTCTTGTTGTTTAGCGAAATTATTGGGATCACCATTATGAAAGAATTCTATATATCTTTCGTGTTGTTCTCCTTGTACTTCGGTTGCAAATCCATATTGCGGGTAATAAATGTCAAGTTCTAATCCAATTGGGTGATCTAAAGTTTTAAGAAAATCAGGTCGACGTATCTTAGATGGCGGTCCAAGATATTTTGACATAATTTTTCGACACAATCTTTCACGTTTATATTTAGAGCAATATGGACACCATGTATTATCATTTTTTACATGAGAAAGGGTAGCATACCATTGATGGTTTTTATTGCATCTCCAGAGTAACTGGCTTTTGCAATTGGTATAAGAATCTGTTAAGCATCCCCCTCCTCGACTATATGCAATAGCTTTGGCTACCGAAATATCAAGTTTTGTGCTAGCACAATATGGACACCAATAGTTCTTGTTCTTAATACCATTGAGGGAAGCGAGCCATTCATGTGATTTGGAACATCTCCAGTGTAAATGCGTTGTATAATTGATGTAAACATCGGATAAACACTCTCCATTTCTGCTACGTGCTAATTCTTTCGCATATTCAATGTCAAGTTTCTCAGACTTACCTACACAATGTGGGCACCAAGTCCCTCTTTGAATACTATCGATTCGAGCAAACCATGAATGTCCTTTAAAACATTTCCAAGATAGCGGAGTACGTCTGTTATGATAAGAACTAGAAAGACATGTCCCACCCCTTTTATTTGCAAGATTCTGGGCGAATTCAAGTCCAAGTTTCATACACTCACGACACCAATTTTTTCCATTTTTGACATTTGAAAGAGAAAGGAGAAACCGATGACTATTTTCACATTCCCATAAAAGAGGTGAGTTAATATTAACGTAATTCTCAGAAATGCACCATCCATTTTTAGCACATGCCAATTCTTTGGCCACTGAAATATTGAGTTTTCTATTTGAGCAGTAAGGACACCATGAATGGCGATTTTTGATAGATCGAAAAGAACACATCCATTGATGGTATTCGCTACATTCCCAAAGCATTGGAATTTCACAATTGATATATTCTTTGGAAAGGCATTTTCCTTCATGAGATTTGGCTATCTTTATTGCATCATTCAAAGAAAATTTTTTAGGCATTGCGAATAACAAAATATATTTCTTAAATAATTATTCTACTTTTCAATATACTATGGAGTATTATGAGCTACGCAAATTAGACGAAACTATACCTTCAAAAAAACAGAATCAATTCGCACCTAGACACCCATTTAGATTATTGGTTGCGGGCACCTCTGAGTCTGGAAAGACGAGCATGGTAGTACATCTGCTCCTAGGAAGTAAATATCCAAAAATATATCCGTGGATGTCTGGTGAAAAACATGGTTATAA